CAAATGCCTTCCCGGGCCACCACCACCACCACCTGCTGCTCCGCTCGGCCCCGCTCCGCCCCTGGCCCTGCCCCGCTCAGCCCACAGCCTGCGGGGTCGGCACGCGGCCCGTCGCTCTTTTCTGGCGCCTCCCTTCACGGGACGCGGGATCGCACCGTCGACGTCGACCGGCTTTCGCCCGCGGCGAGACCCGCAGAGGCAAAAAAACAGGAGGGGGGAGACGAGGAGGAGGGGTAGAGGGTCTGGCACAGCAGACAATGTCAACACAGCCAGCCCCACTGCGAGTTCCAGGAAGCCCCTGGGCAAATCACCCGCGCGGGTTCAGAGTTGCGCGCGCCGCTGCCTCTTGCAGTGCCGCGCCAAAAATTAGTTTCGAACGCCGCGCCCGAACCTTTCGCAAAAATCGGAACTATAAATGACGCGGGCCTCTTGGGGCCCCCTTGGGGAGCCTCCTAGGACATGTTCGCTGCTTGTGGGGCCGTTCGGGGACCATGTAGAGCGCGCCGAGCGATCCTTCGGCGACTCAGGGGCCTCCTGGCCCGTATTGGGGGTTTTGGGGGTGCCCTCTTGGCCCGTTTCGGCGCGCCCGTTTCGGCGCCGTCGTTGCCCCGAAATCTTCACGCGGGAACATGTCCCGGAGTTCTGGGGGCACGCGGTAAGCCCTCGAGATCTGACAATTTGAGCCATGGGCCCCTTGAAGACTTTTCAGCATCAGGATTGAAGTTTAGAGCAGCATTTGGCAAAGGACCTGAAGGATACTGTGGTAAGGAAGGGCCCCAATGCAGAAGAAAACAAAAATCACGAACTGGGTAGGGTCGTTCCAAAAGACGCATGGTAGCTTGATGATGCGAGAACAGAGAACCAAATACATTTGTAGTGGGAAATTGCAGAAGTGAAAATGTTAACGCTTCGGGCGCCCCCCAACCCCATCAAGAAGTGTGCCCAGCATAAAGGAAGCATATCCGCAAGCAGCGCAATGGAGCAAGGGCGCAGCCGCCCAACCGACGCTCGCGATCGGCCTGGCCTGACAAAACCCAACAACGAATGTTTTTTTTTTTATACACGTATATGTATATATATCTATATATATATATATATATATATATATATATATATATATATCAGAGTGAGGGGGCCGAGCGGTCATTCATGGTCCCTGGGTGTGTGGCTGAAACGGGCATCCGTGGTGGGGATTATGCATGTTGTTGTTGTCGTCGTCCCCCCCGCGACCCGCCCGCGACCCACCCGACCCACCCCGCGACCCACCCGCGACCCACCCGCGACCCACCCGCGACCCACCCGCGACCCACCCGCGACCCACCCCGACCCACCCCGCGACCCACCCCGCGACCCACCCCGCGACCCCGCGACCCACCCCGCGACCCACCCGCGACCCACCCCGCGACCCACCCCGCGACCCACCCGCGACCCACCCCGCGACCCACCCGCGACCCATCCGCGACCCGGCCCGCGACCCACCCGCGACCCACCCGCGACCCACCCCGCGATCCACCCACATTGTTTTAACCAAAAAATCGGCGCTTGCGGCGGGCTCACTGCATAATTTGTAAATTTAGGCGCCTGCGGCGGGCTTTTTCAGAGCTTCGCAGACTGACGACGTCCTCGCCGCCCCCTCACTCTCATCCGCAACTGCGGACTGCTGCGGTACACGTATATATGTATAAGTATGTGTGTACACGGACATATGTATATGCGTGTATAGATACACCCATCCGTACAGTCATATACACTACGGGACACCGCGGGACACCTTTCGATCTGTCTCATTATCGATTTCGTTATCGCTCTCCCCCAATGGGACACCACGGGACACCTCGGGACACCACAGCGATTTCATTATCGATCTCACTATCGATCTCATTATCGATCTCACTATCGGTCTCACTCAACGGGATACCACGGGACACCACAGGACACCTGTCGATCTCACTAGCGATCTCAATGTTTTGGGACAGAACAGGACACCTCGGAGCACCACGTCGATGTCATATTAATATATTTATCGATCTCACCACCGATCTCATTCAACGGAACACCACGGGACACCGCGGGACACCACGGGACACCGCGGGACACTTCTCATCTCATTATCGGTTTCATGATCGATCTCATTCAACGGGACACAGGACACCACGGGACACCACATCGATTTCATTATCGATCTCACTATCGATATCATTCAACGGGACACCACGGGACACCACCAGACACCCGTCGATCTCACTACCGATCTCACTAGCGATCTCATTTTTTTGGGCACCACGGGACACCTCGGGGCACCACATCCATCTCACTAGCGATCTCATTATCGATCTCACCCCCGATCTCATGATCGATTTCATTCAACGGGACACCACGGGACACCAGCGGGACACCGGCGGGACACCGGCGGGACACCACCGCGCGCCACCGGCCGCCGGAGGAGAAACGTTTGGTCCAGCCGCGGCGCAGCCACAGGAGGATTTCGGGACACCAGCGGGACATTGGCGGGACACCGCGCGCCACCAGCCGCCGTATGAGCAACAGTTGGTCCGGCCGCGGCCCAGCCACAGGAGGATTCCCTCTCGCCCGCCCACGAAGCTTCGCCTCGCCCGCACGCACGCACGGCACGCACGACACGAACCCGAAACCAAAATCGTTTTCCTGGTAGGGGTCATTACAAATTCTGCCATCGCTTCCGCGAGTTATGTGTCTACTGCGTTTCCAATTGCCCTTGTGATGATTCCATGGATTGCCACGCTGATTCAGCTCTATCCTCTTTCCCCGAATGTGTCGCTGCTGTGTGCCTGCATGTGTGATGCTTTCTTGCACGCTCACCACTGTGCGAGGCTGAGCCTGCCTGGCACAGCCCAGCAAAGCTTTGATGCTCGCCTCCGTCTTTTGACTCGGAGGCATGTGGTTGTTGCCGAGGCGTGGGTTGACCTCCGTGCAGGGCCTGGGTGGTTTGTCCTTGCTGGTGCGTGTGTTTGCGAGCCGAAACAACTCTGTCTCAGGGTATGCAATGATATTCAAGGGCACTGTCGTCTCTGAGCGCTGGCCTTTGGCTCTGGCCGCTGTGCCACTGAGGAGGTGGCGCGGCATTCGTCATCTGATCGTGGCCCTCGGACACTGTGCGGCCAAAACCAAAGCCCTCGCAGTACCCGGTGCCGGAGCTGTGGGGGTGGCGGTTGAGGCCCCGTGGCTAGTGACTGGTAGGGGGGTATCCGTGTCACGTCGGATTCACCCCCAACACATACACACACATACAGACATACAGACATACATATATATATATATATATATATATATATATATATATATATATACACATATATATATATATGTACACATATATACACACAGATACGCTTATACATGCATCTACATTTACCTAAGCAGATACATCTACATATGCATAGCTATATAAATGAATATATATATATATATATATATATATATGGTTGTATTTATATACACATATAAGTGCACATAAACGTATACATCTACATATACAAATACATATGCCTATACAGATACATAAACAGATACATTCATATATTTATATATACACACCCTATAACTCGGAGGTTTGGCAGGCGTATAAATTCCTGGTGCCGTCCCGCGTTCGACTACCTCCGTACCTCTGTCACTCAATCGCTCTTTCGCTCCTCCGAGCCTGGCGCTCTTGACTCAGTCGCTCTTCCGCTTCCCCGAGCCTCGCGCTGCTCGCCAGGGCTGTAGTGCTGCTGCCTCGTCCGTCGGTTTCGAGTCTCGGGTGGGCCGCCGCGCCACTGGGCGGCGGCCCGTGCCCACCGTCCGCCCGGGTCTGCGGCGGGTTAGCAAGTAACGGCCGAAGGGCAGGCGGGCCCCTGCAGGGGCCCAGGGGCTTGCGAGGGCCACGAGCAGGAGGGCCCCCAAAGGGGCCCACGCGCTTGCGGCCGCAGATTGCGCGTCCCATGGCAGGCGGGCCCCTGCGGGGGCCCACGCGCCAGCGGGCTTCCCGTCAGACATCGCACGCGCGTGAATCCGAGCATGGGGAACGCAGCTCGCCGCGCAGCCTGCGTGACCGCGCGCGAGCAAGAGCGGCGCGCGCCTTCCCCATTGTGCAGGGTTCGTTGTCCGCGACGCTACCGCGTCTCTGCGACCTGGGCCCGTTCCGAGGCGCCCTTTGTTTTTTTTGTGGGCGGCTGGGCGAGCCAGCCGCAGTCAAGAAGGATTGGGAAGAGCAGCGGCGGCTCCGGCAGGCGCGCGGATCCGCGGGCGCGCGGCTTCGCGCCACCCGCACGCGGGGGCCCCTGCGCGGGAGGGGGGGCGGTGCCAGACGTGCTTCGGCGATCTGGTGAGCCAGTTCCCGCGCCCGCGAGCGGCCGGTCGCGGCCGCAGCCGGCCCCGTTCGAATGACCGACGTGGGCCCTCGGACGGTGAATTCGCGACGACGGCTCCCTTCCCATTTGACCCAGGGGCCGCGGGCCAAGCCCAGCTGCGGCGATTGCCCACAGGGCGCAGGCCAGGACCTGCTGGGCGCGCGGGCAGGGGATACGCGGGGCGTGCGCGCGTGCGCTGCGCACGTTGCCGGGCGCGTTGGGGGCTGGCTGCGCGCGCGGCTTGGGCTGCGTTCGCGGCTGCGCTCGCGCGCGGGCTGGGAGCGTCGTGCCAGGCAACGGTGGCCGTGGACGGAGCTCGGGCTGCGCACGGGCCGTTGGGCGCGCCCAAGGATGGGGGGCGCCTGCGCGGCGCGCGCGGAGCGTCTCGGCCTTGCAGCGAGACGCGAATCGGGCAAGCAGCGGACGCGCGCCTCCATGACGCAAGGTTATTCCGACTGCGATGTCCTTGCTCTGCTTGAAGCCGTAGGGGAATCCGCCTTCGCCGGAGCGGGTCGCCGGGCCCAGGCGCGCGGCGTGCCGGGGGGGCGAGCGCGTTGTTTGCGCCGATCGGTATCGCAGGTGAAATGGGCCCATTTTGCGCGGGCGGTGGACGCGGAGCCACGCGAAAGGTCCGTGATGCATTACGCGGCGACTGCGAGAATGATGGCGGAATGCGTCGGATCGGCGCTCGCCGAAGATTTCGCGGACGCCTCTATCAAGGAGGTGTTGGCCGCGGAATTACCGGCGGCCAACTCGCAGCCGTTCAACGCCGGGGAGGGCAAGGGCTGGGCGGAGTTCAAGGTAACTCCTGCCCACCGTGCCCTGGCCCTCCGCGTTCAGGGCCGCGCACAGGACTCGCGCATGTCTTGCGATCCGTCGCGGGGCCCATGGCTTCGGGGGGGCGCTGCGCAGGGCGCTGCCCCGGGCCCCGCGAGCAGCGGCGACCTCGCGAAGGCGACGGGCGCGATGGCAGAATATGCTCAAGCGTCGCGCGAGCAGATGGATAAGGAGAAGAAGACCGATCATTTGTCCTTTACGCTCCAGGTCCTTGGCCCCGCGGCGGCGAGCCAGAGCGGGGCGGGGCGCGGCTGCGGCGCGCGCAGGAGCGGATCAGGGAGGTCGGGCTCGACGCCTTTCCAGGCGAGGCCCTCCCGACGGAGGAGGCCATGCTTCGTTTCGAAAAGCTCGCGAAGGCGCCGCCGGCAGAGCGCGCGCCGGGCGAGCGCGGCGCGGCGTGCGCGGCACAGGCCGCGGCAGCCAATGGCCGGCGTTATTTGGGGAGCGCCGAGTGCGAAGACTTGCAGTTGAATTTCATGCCGCCATGGAGCCGCGTGCCAGATCTGGGCATGGCGCCGCGCGATGCCTTGTTTTTCTTGCGCGCGCGGGGGGGGGGGGGGCGCGGCCACGCGGCGCTCCGAGGTCTTGCCCAGGGGCTCGGCAGAGAGCCGCGCCAAAGAGGTCGCGGCGGCCAAGCGGGCGGCCATGGCGACGACTGGCGTGGACTTCGCGTCATATGCCGATTTCCAGGACGCGAAGGGACCTGCGCAGACGCGCGGCGCGCGCGGGGGGCAAGTTTCGGCGCAGTACCGTTCGCGGGCAGGCGCACCTGCTTGAATGGGGAATGCGCTGATCATCACCCAGGTTTTCACGCCGGCGGTGCTGCTGGCCTACCAATGGCAGCTGAGCCGGATTGCGGGGGAGCACGGTGGGACCCGCACCGCGTACTTCTATGATATCGCCATGCGGCAGAAGGCGGGGGCGTTGCGCAGGGGGGGCGCGCGCCGGGCGCGATACGAACCCCCCCTTTCGCAGGCCGCGCGCGCTGGAGCAGAGCGCGGGCGGCGTCGATGCGCTGCTGTGCACCCTGGACTGGGATGCGCTCAAGGCCGCCAAGGCCAAGGCGGAGTCCAGGTCAAAGGGAGTGGCAGCGGCGAAGCCGAGGCGGGGTGCGCCGCCCAGTCCGCCGGAGGCCGCGCGGCGATGCGCCGCGTGCCAGGGCGGGCCAGGGGGCGGAGAGTCGTGCGCCTGACAACAGGAGTGTCCACGGGATGTTTCCGTCTGCGTGGCCGCGATCCACCGTGTGCAGGCTGGCCCAGAGCCCGAAGAGGCCGCCCAAGGCGTGGGGCGCGGCGAGGTCCCGCTCGCCTCGCGGCGGCTGGGGGCCTCCCGCGCCTGCGCGCGGCTCCGGCGCCGGCAAGCAGCCAGCCGCCAAGAGCGGTGAGAGCAAGTGGGCGCCGTGGAGCGAATGGAAGAAGAGCGGCCACAAGAAGTGACGGCGCACCGTCACGCCGATTGCTGTTGCATGGAATAATTTGCCGTGGGAAAGCGAGGCACGACGCGCGCGATTGCTCCGCGCGAACCCGCGAGGGGGCCCATCGCGACCGCCGCGGGGGGGGGGCAGGCAGCGCGGGGAGATAGTGCAGAAATTGACGAGCGCTGGGATAGCGAGGCATCGCTGCACCCGGGCGCGGTCGGGGAAACACGCGTTGACGAGGCCCGCAAGTGCCGCCCATGTAGCGGTCGCGCGCGCGCGCGTTGCGGCGTTGCAGGGAAATCTGCCGGGGAATAGCGAGGAGGCACGACGCGCGCGCGCTGGTCCGCACGAACCCGCGAGGGGGTCGATCGCGATCACCGCGGGGGGGGGGGGCAGGCAGAGTGGGAAGATAGTGCAGGAATTGACGAGCGCTGGGACGGCGAGGCATCGCTGCCCCCCGGCGCGGTCAAGCGGCGGGGCGCGCCGCGCGCGCTGCAGGCGATCCTGGGCCGGCTTTTCTTCGCCCCAACCGGGAGATTCGTGGACGACTTGTTCGGAATCGACCAGGCGGGAGGCTGGGCGGAGGAGCCCTCAGCGGGGGCCGCTGGAGCATCTCGGGCGACGCACTTCGTAATCGAGACTTTGTCGGGCTGGGAGTTGGACGAGGAGAAGCGCGTGACGTCGGCCGAGTCGGCCGAAGTCCTGGGCGTAACGGTTACGGTAATCAATAAGCCGGCGCGCCGCTGTCGCGCCCCGCCGGTCGACCGGGGGGGGGCGCGCGGTCGGCCGGCTCGCGAGTTTTGTTGCGCAGGAACAGGCGTTGGCTTTCAGCATCCCGCCTGAGAAAGTGGCCAAGTGGAGGGGCTCCATTGAGCAGGTCCTCCAGTCTGGCCAGCTGTCGCCCGCGGGCGCGGCCAAGCTGGCGGGAAAGCCTGGGCAGGGTGCTTCCGCCGTCGTCGGCAGGGGCGCCCGCGTTTACTTGGCTCCGCTTTTCCATTGGTCCACCGGGAGGCGAACGGTGTTGACCACGCGCTTGAGGCGCACGCTCGAATGGTGGCTGCGATTCTTGGCCACCGCGCCCCAGCAGCATGTCCTGCTGCGGTGGCGGGCAAAGCAGCGCGTGCTTGTTTTCTCGAATACAACGGGCGGCGGCAGGTCGCGTGCGCTGCGTGCCGTCCCGCCCCCGCTGCCAGGTGTGGAATGGCGTGAGGTTGGCATGGGTGGTCGATGACGGCTCCCGGAGAAGGTATGCCGCGGCGGACGTGCCTGCGGCCTTACGGGGCTGGGTGGCGCGCCAGAAAGTGCAGGCCAGCGCGCGCGCGCGGCCGCGAGGGCCGAGCGTGGGTGTTGCGGGGCGCGCGCGGTGCGCAGGTGGCCACTTGGGAACTCGTGGCGGCACTCTGCGCTCTGGGGACGTTGCTTGCGCAGTATGGCGACATCGAAATTGTTTGCTTCATTGACTCCGCTGTCGACCTGGGCACGATCGCGCGGGGAGCCTCGCGCCAACCCGATTGGAATGCCTTGGTGAGGAACTTGTGGCTCGGGGCGGCGACCAAAGGGTGCGCCACGTGGGCCTTTCGCGTGCCCTCCGCACAGAATCCAGCGGACGCGCCTACCCGCCCGGAGTCCAAGTGGCGCGAGTTGGAGGCCATGCATCGCGCGGGCTTCTCAGAAGAAGTGTGGCAGTGGGCCGCGCAACCGCCTTGGCAGCGATGCCATCCGCGGGGGACCGCGCCCCGCGCGGGGCGCTGTGGGCTCGCTCCCCCCCCCCCCCCTCCTTTTGCACGGGAAGGGCGCGGAGCCGGAGCGTTTTGGGCGTGCGTGGAGTCGGCGGGCCACCGCGAGTGCTTGCGCACGAAGGCACGCAGCGCGATCCGCCTCTGAAAGGTGCGGGAGGGATGCTCGCATCGTTTGGGGCGTGCGCGGAGTCCGCGGGCCACCGCGAGTGTTTTGCATGCACAGGCATGCAGCGCGATCCGCCTCCGAATGGCGACTTGCTTGCTCTTGTGCGCACGGCCGTGAATGCAACGCCGGCCGGGCGGGCGCTGAATCCAGAGTCGGTGGCGTTGGTGATGTTGCAGGGGGGGAATCAAACGCGTCGAGGTCGCGGGCGCGGGCGCGTTCGCGCGGAGCTGCAGGGTGCCGCGCCCGGCCGCGAGGATCTCGAAGGCCTGCCAGGCTGTGAGTTGGAATTGGTCTGGCCCGCCTTGAAGCGGACGCCCGGCTTGGCGGGCCAACTCGCGGCGCGCGTGAAGACCCGCAAGCGACGGCGCGCTTCGGCGGGGCCGGCGCGCGCGCCCCGGCCGGAGGCGCCCGTGTCACGGCCCGTGCACGGGCGCGGGTGCGCGCGTCTTTCGTTCGCAGGCCAATCCCGGCGGGGCGGCGAGAGCTCTGGAAGCGCAGCCCTGGCGGGCGCCCGCCGCGGTGCATCCGCGCCTGGAGGAGGTGTGGGCCGCGCTGCGAGAGCTGGTCCAGGCCAGGGAGAGGGGGTGTCCACCGTGCCCGTTGCGGCTGGCCTGCCTCCTCAGGCTGCTAGGAAGGGCCACCAGACCCCCGGCGGCGCTCGGCCTACCAGCGCGGCCTTCCGAGGGAGGCGAGGCGCTGATCGCCGCGGGAATTAATAGCTATCGGCGCGAGATGATCAGCCTTACCGCCGCGTGGGTAGAGATAGGCCAGTGGCGCAAGACTGCGGCCCAGTACGCCTCATCAGTGGCGTGCTGGGGATTGTGCTGCAAGTCCTGTAATAAAGGGGGGGTGCAGGCGCGCCGCCCGCAACGCGCGCGCCCGCCGCGCGAGCGCGCAGGGCGGCGGGGGTCGAGCCTTGGCCGCCGAGCGGGCCTGCGCTCGAGGTTTTGATCACCGCGCGCGGGTCGGCAGCGACGCTGTCGCAGTACGCTTCGAGGATCTGGTCAGTGCTGCGCCTCCTCCGCGCCCCCGCGGGGGTGCTGGACGCCATGGGAGGCATCGTGAAGGGGGCGCAGAAATGCGAGGACCGGGCGGTGCGGCGGCATCGCGCCAGGGACTGGCGGCTTGGGTCCGGCGTGAAACTGGGCGCGACGACGTGGCTGATTCTTTCCTTGTAGCCAGGCCTGCACGAGCGTGCCGAGGGGGGAGTGCCGGGTTCCTTCCCGTCGGTGCTCTTCGTGCCCTAGGCAGTTATGCTTAAGGTTTGGGGCGGAAGTCGTCGGCCTGAATGGCAACGGCCACTCGGCGGTGTCGACATTCGAGGAGGCATCCCCGGCGGCCGCGGGCACGGGGGGTGGGGGGACGCGCCGCGCGCGCCGCCCCGTTCCGCGTCGCAGGCAGGCAAGAGAGGCGCCTGTATTACTCTGGCACTTCGCAAATGCCGCAGGGAGCCCGAGCAATTGTGGCGGAAGTGCGTGTGCGACATCCAGGGGCGGTGCCTCTCCGGGGTCTGTGTGCTGCACCGCAGGGCGTCGCGCGCTGGGTCGCGTGTGTTCCCGGGCCTGACATACGCGGATTCGCTGTCGCTGTTAAAGCTAGCTTCCATGGCGCTGGCACTGCCGCGCACGGCGGAATGGGACACCCATGCTTTCCGCAGGGGCAGGGCCGACGAGGTGCTCAGGTCGCAGGGCCCGGCGGCCATGTTCGCTCAGGGCGGGTGGCGCAGCGTGGCAGCCCGGGCGCACCCGTCAGCCAGGGCCATGAGCGAGACTCTGGCGGCGGAGGAGGCCATTGGGCACTCGGACAGCTCCGAGGGGGAGGAGCCTGGATAGAGGGTGTCGGACAGCTCCGACTCCGAGCGAGAGGGCCTCAGCGATGCCGCGCGCACGACGCATGCGCTGGGGTGCGAGGGACAGAGCGGGGCAGAGCTATGGGGGGGAGTGTGCGCCGGCTGGCACGGCGGGCTGCGGCTGGGCTTGCATTGGGTCGGCGTGCGGGGTGCACCATGGGGTCGCCCTACGCCGCGAGCCCGACCGCCCTGTCCGCCGCGCCAAGACGTCTGCGCCCTTTGCTGGCGCGGCGCTGCACCGAGGGAATGTATATACCCTATAAATCGGAGGTTTGGCAGGCGTATAAATTCCTGGTGCCGTCCCGCGTTCGAGTACCTCCGTACCTCTGTCATTCAATCGCTCTTTCGCTCCTCCGAGCCTGGCGCTCTTGACTCAGTCGCTTTTCCGCTTCCCCGAGCCTCGCGCTGCTCGCCAGGGCTGTAGTGCTGGTGCCTCGTCTGTCGGTTTCGAGTCTCGGGTGGGCCGCCGTGCCTCTCGGTGGCGGCCCGTGCCCACCGTCCGCCCGGGTCCGTGGCGGG